AATTGTTAAGTTGGTGGTTGGTGGGTTGGTTGGAAATTTATTATATCATAAATGCATTTATTATGAAATGAGGGCAATTTAGTCAATTTACATGATAAAATAAGGGGAGGGGTCAGAAATCTGAGGTGAAGGGGTCAAGTAAAAATCAAAAGGGGGTCAAAAATCCAGAGTGGTTATTGAAAGGGGTCAAAAATCCCAATTTCCTAAAAATATTAATGTAGATCTGATAATCAAACCATTAATATTTAAAATATAAATCTATTAAGCGAAAATAAGATGAGCATAAATAAGAAAATTTATTAAGGAAAACACAATTTTATTGCTGTAGAAGAGTTGTAATGAACTATCTTGGATATTACACATAAATGAGATTGAAACCAAATGGAAACATATTAACTTACATCTCAACTTCACAAACTTGGGTCAGGACCTTTTTTTTTTTTAAGCATCTTCACATTCTCAAACTTAGTACAATAAAAAAATTAAACTCAATTTTTTACAAACTATGCATTAAATTCAACAGTAGCTACCTTACCTTGATATTTGTGGCCGCTTCAATTGGAACTTTTGCAACCTACTTCGCCCATAAGTTATGGAATAAAGATTGAAACTATGACATAAATTTGGTAACATGGTATGGTATGCTAGTTTGTTCTATGGCTATGTGACCATTGTTTGAGTGAATTATAGAATTGATCTTGGTGTTAATTACTGAAAATTTGGTATCCATATTTGTTTATCTTGTTATATCCCAAGTTTTGTTTTCTTGTTATATTTGTTTCCTTAATCTTGTGGTCATTCTTCAGGAGCTTGAAGCAACTACGTAAAAGGAAAAGCTACGTGTACAGTGCTATTAAAATGTATTTCATGGCTGTTATGAAATTGTTATATATAAATTTTTATTGACATTACAAACTTTTATTAAACACAAATTGTGACCAAAAAAAACTGTCACAATTAATCAATTATCATATATAAAATTACAAACCTTTATTAAACACAAATTGTGACAAAAAAAAAACTGTCACAATTAATCAATTATCATATATAAAATTTTCGTGATAGTTAAAATTGTCAATATAAAAAGATTTTAATGACAGTTAAAAATTGTCAATATAAAGATTTTCATGACAGTTAAAACTATCAATATTAACCGTTAAAATCATCACTATAAAAGTTTTCGTGACAATTATAAATAGTCATTGTTATGTTTTTCTTGACATTTATTAGCAGTCGTTAAAAAATATTTTGTGACATTTATAAACTGTTGTCATTGAATTTTTATTGACAGGAAAATAAAATCTTTCATTGTTTTAATGACAGTTATAAATTGTAATTAAATGAGTTTCTGTGATATTTTTTAATTGTGATGGAAAATCTATTGGTGACAAATTATAACTGTAGTTGTAAATGCATTAGTGACAAATTTTCAAAATTGTCATGTTCTCCTTGATGCCTTAATATAACTGTCATGAATTATGTTAATGACAGTTTTTAACTGTCATTGAAGCCCGACTTTCTAGTGGGCGTTGAACATATATCTCTATGCTGATGACCATTGAAAAATTAACAGTTCATTATTATTATTATTATTATTTTTGAAAAAATTGTCCTTTTCTTGACGTTTCACTTCTAATGGTGGTCAACATAAGATAGGTGTTCATCATATAACACCGAAAAGTTTTATGGTACTATGAGAGTATATGAATACTCTTTCCATTCACTGTCTGCGGCGTCAAAATTGTATTAAAAATGAGGTGGGTCCATCAACATTAAAAAATTATTTATGACGAAAAAATCAAAAGGATATAGTATACCCGTAATACTAAAACTTTTCTCAGTCAACACCCAGGTATTTTCCTTTATTCATCCCACGTGGAGGTTTATTAACGTTTCCGTACCTCCACGTGTAGCTTTGCTTGTGGGGTATTCTCAACAGTATTTGCAATGAGGCAATCCATCTTACTAGACTTACCTTCATGATCTACAAATCGCTGGCAATAGATGTTGCCTACACGAAGGGTAACTATGTTATTAGAACAATCTTCCCAATGAAAATGAAATAAAGTTTTGGGATCAGCAGTAGCATTTTCTGCCTCTGCATTAACCCAATTGTGGTCACACCTCCAAAATTCATTGTTAAAATTTGATTGAATATGACCACTTGTATCATTCTTCTTGGCGATGTTGGGGCATTTGAACCACACTTCTGCTTCATCAGTGTCTTTAGCTGAGAACTTCAGATGTGGCTTTCCATCAATCACTTCCACCTTGAGGTATTTTTCATTGTCGCCCTTGAATGCAAGCCTCGATGGCCCTGATTGTTTCGGGGGGATGATATTCTTGACCACGAACACGTCGATGCGATCGGGATCGGGATCGACGGATCCTGCAAAGATGCAAAGAGGGAATTGGGAGGAATCCTTGGATAAACAAACGTACTTGTTGAGGTGCACATGGAGAAGTCTTATGGCGCTCCCATCGTCCACAGGGATGGCTTGGAAGAGTGTGCACGACGAGCTCGATTGGTCTTCATTTGGCTCGTTGGCTTCGGCCACGATCCAGTGCTCGTCGTTCTCGTATCGGCTCACCCAATACTTGTTGCTGTAGACCGATCTTATGTTGATGAACTCATCAGCTGTGCTGGCTGGCTCTTTGTGGAATTTTGAATGAGTTGAGAACTCATCTTCGGAGAATTTGAGGAAGCCATGGAGTTGTGGGTCTTCATTGTCGATGTAGCACAAGTATTTGTCGTTGTACTTGGACTGAAGGGCGAAAGTATTTTGCAATGACATGTTTTTTCTTTTCTTTTTTCCTTTTTGTCCTCGAATGATTTTGAGTCTGTGATTTCCACAACTCATATCGAGAACTCTATTTATAAGGGAAAGAAGGTAAAAACAATGTACATAGGATAGAAATAAAATATATTTGGATGAGGCTCGTTATTTGAGTTGAGCAACAATGTGACCAGCGTAAGTTCAAAACTTAAGACCTCAAGGACATCGGGCGGTCCGGGGACCACCTCTGTCCCAAATACTTACTACTGCTTCATCTTGCAAGAACTGTTTGTTTAAATATTTATTATGTTTGGAACAAATATTTATTATGTTTGGAACAGGGCTGGCTTAACGGTATAGAATGGTGTCATATTTTTCATATAAATATAATATATAGTATATATATACTATACTATTGTTATATAATTATTTTAGATTTTTAATTATGATTGAAATTTAAAATATAAAATAATATACTTTTCAATTTTTCTTATAATAATTGAAAATACAAATTAATAATATAAATAATTATCTTGAAAATCTATAGCTCATAAAATTTTCTCAATATTTTAATCGGATATCATTTCAAATTTGTTAGCTTTTATTTTTTTTTATCTTTTCACCAACAATTTTCTCACCCAAAAAAAAAAACTTTATAAATATACTAGGCAGGTTAGACTAATTTTAACATTAACCCACTCTCTCAGTCACTCTCAAGTCTCAACTTTTCGCCAAAGTAAGCATAGCTCAACGATAATTGACATATAACTCGAACCATGAGGTTGTGAGTTCGATCTCCCACCCCCACATATTGTACTGAAAAAAAAAAGTCTCAACTTTTCATGTTTAATCTTATGTGTGGTCTCACAACTACAATCATCAATTGCTAGAGTAGAAATAATTATTTGCTCAAATCAATTTAGCCGCTTCAAAATTCTAGGTTTTTTCATTCAAATTCTTATATTTTTTTTCTAAAAAAAATTATTTTATATTGTTGATTATTCAATACCTTGATATGTGAGATTGTTTTGATTTACTTACTTATAATATAATATTTCTACCATAAGAATAGAAAAATTGATTGTAATATATATGAAAGTTTTAATTAGAATATCATATATGATGATCACAATGGAAAAAATTGATTTTAATTGATTTATTGGTAGAAAAATGTTCCATTAGAGAAAGTTATTTAATTTTTTTTCCAAAAGATAGAAGATTCTAGACATTTTTATGATATTCATTGTACTAAAAAAATTGTCTAACGGCGAAAAACATGATAGAAAAATTGGCTAGCTTACCCAAATGATGTTGATATAGTTTATTGTTTTGTTGTAAGTTATTTGGTACTAAATCTAACATAGTCAAATTAGAAGATGAAGAAATTAAAAGACCAATCTTAGTTCTCGATGTAGAAGTCATAAATCTACTGATAAACACATATTATATTTAATATGAATATACTTGGGTTGATTCACAAATAAGGTATTGAACAATAATCACTGATATATGTATTAACAATAATTCAAAAATTAATTAATAAATTAAAAAAACATTAAAATAAAGTATTAACCAAAATTATTGTTGGTTAAAAATCTTAATATATTCTCTATTTAAGGCTTCTTTATCAAAGTATTGCCTAAGATCTCATATCATCTCCCCGTCAAATTCAACAGAATTAAACTCAATCAAACTCGAGTTGAAAATCTAGTGATAGGATTTCATTTTCCAAGTTTATAGATCACAAGTTTAGGGACCATGCATAATGCTTTTTAATCTAACAAAAACTATTAGTCAATTACAAGGTTTTGTTAATTTTGTCCCTCGTCAAATTAGAGAATAATATACGGTATCTACACGTGTTTTCATGATCAATTTATAGTTATTTTAATATGTCAAAACCTACACATAATCTGATTACGTTTTTAGTTTAATTAAAATACCAAAAAAACACATTAAATAATTACATTGTGGCCCATTTTATTAAAAATGCTAACATATTCTTAACATGCATGGTGAGCTATTTAATTTGAGAGTGGTTTGTAATTTAAACTAAATTATGGAAAAAATGTATATACGACAGAAATGAAAAAGTTTGTCTTTATGCATTGAATTTTATATATTTGTCGTAGAACTTAAAATGATAAGCCATTTTTCATTATTTTTTTTTCAATTATTTGGGGATGGCTTGTAGTTTAAATGGAATAATTAAAAAAATATCAATAGTTGTATATAGAAATTAATTAAAAAGAAAACTTGTCCTTATTCGTTTATATATTTTTCACATGGAAATGAAAAATTTATATATATATATATTTATAGATATATGTACCTATCATAATCTGTTTATTTAATTTGGGGGCGATTTGAAGATTTAATTAAACCATGAAACCACTTGTTTTCAACTGTATTGTGGATAGAAATGAAAATTTTGTCCTTATTTTGGTTTATAAATGTTTTAAATGGCTGAAAGTGATAACTTTATATATATATATATGTACCTTTCATAATTTTCTTATTTAATTTGAGGTGATTTGAAAAGTTTAAACTAACCCAGGTGATAGAAATGAAAATTTTGAGCCTTATTTATTTATATATATAATTAAATTAAAAATTTAGTCCCTGAACTTTTAGATGCGTCTAATAAGTTTCTCCACTTTAAACGAGATCTAATAGGTCCCTAATTTTAAAAGTTTCTAATAGATTTATAAAGTTTCAGTTTTGCCTATCTAATAGGTCCCTAGCCTATTCAACATTTTTTTATATTAATCGATTAGCTCAACATAAAATTATATTTTATATCTAATCAAATCCTAAATTTTCTTTTTGTTGTCTAACAGGCCTATGAATTTTAAAAATTTTCGAATAAGTCAAAGAATATTAGACACAAAATGAAAGTTCAAAGGACTTATTAGGTATTCTTTAAAGTTCAAGGACTACATATAAATTTTATAGTTCAGGAACTAAACTTATAATTTAACTTCTATTTTACATACGTGTGTACTCATAATCGTACAATTCACTCTACTAATTATTATAATTGCACTCACAAGCTCTTAATTGTAAAAATTATACCTAAAGGTGTCGTTTGTTTTTTGGGAATGTAGATGCCCAACATAACTTCAGATGTCTAGAATCTCATATGCCCAAAATTTTAGATGTTTGGAATTTCAGATAGCCACGTTTGTTTTGTAGAAAAAATTATAAGGATATCTGGGAATATTTTGATAGCCACATTTGTTTTGCCGGATTTATTCGTGGGAATATTGTACATTTACGTAATGTTCCAAAAATTCCCTTACCGGTCATCATATAATTTATATGTTAAATTTAATATTATTTGAATTCATATAAAAATTTTATTTTTATTAATTTAATATTGTGTTTTTATGTCAATTTTACTTTATGTTTGGTGACTATTGGTAGAGTAAAATAACCGAAAGATTACACACTAGATTTGAATTAAAAATAAATTAAGATATTATACCATTTACCAATGTTTATTTTATATCTAAATATAACATATAAATAAAATTGTATTTAGACATTTATCAATGAATTAGTGCATACATTTATTTTTAAAATAAATGAGAAATAAATATTATTGACGAAAAAATATTATAGAACAAAAATGAACCAAATTGTCAAAACAGCAGCATAATTCTTCAAACAGTCACACCTCTTGATCAATCACACCTATATGGGAAGGGATGCAATGCTTCTCTAAATAGTCATCTCATTGAAACAATATATCATGTAGAAGTATGAAGGGCAAAATGGAGAAGTAAAAATTCTCCTCCATAACCCCATTTAGATATAGTATATTGATTGGAAGGGACGCATTTCTTCTCTAAACATACGCCTCATTGAAACAATAGTATCTGGTAGAAGTATGATGGGCAAAATGGAGAAGTGAAAATTATCCTCCATAACTCCACTTAGATATAGTATATGTAGATACTGTCTTTGGTCCGGGCTTTCGTTTTAAAAAAAATTTTATTACTGATTTATTTATTATTTTATCATGTTTATTGATTTAATTTAATAAAACATAATTTACTTTATTATAAAATTTAATGTAAAGTTTTAACTAAATCAAATTAAGTTTTAAAATTAGATTTTATTTGAAAATAATTGGTTTTTTAATTGATTTTAAGATTTAAAAAAACAGTTTTTTTTCTCTCCTTTGATTTTTTCCTTCATACGTCTGTCCCCTCCCCTTCTTCTCCTCCCTCTTTTTTTCCCTTTCTTCTCCTCCCTCCCCTCCCCTTCTTCTCCTCCCTCTTTTTTTCCCTTTCTTCTCCTCCCTCTTTTTCTCTCTTCTCTTGCCTCTTTTTCTTTTTTATCGTTATTTTTAGGTGTATTTAAGGAGGGCTGCAGTGAGGAGGAGAAGGAAGACAGAACACCCATACAGAGAAGACGAAGAAAAATTCACTTCCTTCTTTCTCTCTACCATCACCTTCTCTTCTTCTTCACCCAGACCGGCTACCCCAACGATACACAGACTGCACACGTCCCCCGGTGATCACAAGTTCAGACAACCTGCACCACAGTAGTCCGGCACAAAGTTCTATAATCCCGACGGACAACAATAATATAACGAACAACTTCTTCAACCGACGCACGAATCACCGACAACCTGACTCCGACCTCGAGTGCTCCTTCACGGTTTCAGACCCGCGGGCACACCAAGGATTTCCTTACTGCAATACGTGATATAGAAAAAATTGTTTTAGAAATGATTTGATTTTTTTTAATAAATTTGTTTTAAATTTGATATATATATATATATATATATATATATATATATTTTTAAATAAATTTGTTTAAATATGATTTGATTATTTTTAAAATAAGTTTCTTTTAAATATGATTTGATTATTTTTAAAATAAGTTTGTTTTAAATATGATTTGATCTTTTTTAAAAAAAAAACAAGTTTGTTTTAAATATGATTTTTTTTTCTTTAAAACAAGTTTGTTTTAAATGTTTTTTTTTTAATTTTAAGGAAGTTTGTTAGAGTAATTTCAAATCTAAAACAAAATAATATTTTTATT